ATTCTCACACAAAATGTAATAACGTTTACCAGGTATATAAATATGAAACCAGAATTTTTGTATAGAAAATACACGTTTATTGTATGAAAATGATAAAAAATATTTTATTCAAAGTATTGCCCATTGCTAGCTATACATTTTTCCCATCTCTCTGACAATTTGTGGATGCCACGCCAAAAAAACTGTTGCTCCTTTGAGGCAAACCAGTCATCGAGCCATTTTCGTACATTTTCGTAAGAAGTGAAGTGCTGCTCAGCAAGTGCGTGTCCCATCGATGCAAATAAGTAGTAATCGGATGGAGCCAAGTCTGGTGAGTAAGCCGCATGCGAAAGTATTTCCCAACTAAACGCCTCAATCGTTTCCTTGACCGGTTTTGCTGTGTGTGATGGTGCATTATCATGAAGCAAAATCATTTTGTGTTGCCTTTTTTGATATTCTGGTCGTTTTTCACGCAAAGTTTGATTCAAATCGATCATTTGTTATCGGTAGCGTTCAGTAATAACGGTTTCGCCAGGTTTTAGCAGCTCATAATAGATCACACCCTTCTTCCACGTTCTTCGTTTCTCACGTCAAAATTGCCACTTTTGAATTTTTTAAACCACTCAAAGCACTATGATTTACCAAGAGCATGCTCACCGTAAGCTTCGACAAGCATTCGATGCGATTCTGCAGCAGTTTTCTTCAAATTGTAACAGAAAATCAATGCTGTCCGCAAATCGTAGTTTCCAGGCACAAAATTCGACATGTTCAACGCTATTAAAAACTATGCTGTTGTATGAAATTTGTATTGTTGTGAGTTGAAAATCTTTATCAGATGTCAAAACAAGAAAATGGCGCCAATGACACGGTTTGACGGTAACTACATTGACAGCTAGGGCCATCTATGGGCAAATTCCGGTTTCATATTTATATACCTGGTATATAACAAAAAATAGAAAAAAATTTTGTTAAGATGTCTGTGGAATTGAACTTGAGTTTACTGCGTGATAGATTGAACACTCTTGCACTGAGCCATCACATATTTCTTGTAAATGCTTTCATATTATCAGCATTTATGTAGCAGATATTTTAACACGATAATATCGATATAATCGAAAAGAAATCAAGATAGCATACTTGTCGGTCTATAAATAGGCAATTACTGAAAGATAATGTAAGCCAAGAATTAACAATCGTTCTCTCCTCGTCGCTCTATCATGCTGACAATACATAAAGTATCGATGAAAAAGCAACAAGTAAAAAAGCAATAAATTGCCAAGTCTAAGAAGTGCCCGTATCTCTTACACGTTGTATATTAGTTCACTCTATTAGCTATTATTCTACTAATATTATTTATCATTGTGCAATTTTGAAACATATGTAACATTTCTATATACTATTGGTATATATCTGTACATATGCGCATAAGTAAACATAAAATTTATAAAAAGTGGGCGCCCATTAGTCTTGTTGCATTACTGCTTTCTGCTACGAGAGGCCAGAAAGCATTTTCAGGCCATATCTCGGCCGTAAAGCGATACGCTAGAGGAACAAGGATAACGTGATCGTTGATCCACGCGTCCACGCGAGCAATTCAATCGTGTGTGTACGTATATAGACATACACCTCTACATAGAGATCGAGAATTTATTTCTCAGATTGGTAATCCTGAAGTCGGAGTTTCGCATTGTCACCGCGCGAGGTCTCCAATATCAATTCGGAGTTTGGCCGTCACTCCTGCCAACCCTTAAAGCTACTACCAAGCATATTAATTCATAGTGTAGTGATATAATATAATAACGCTTTCTTTGTGGAAACGTTTTATAATAATTTGTTTTTAACTAGTTATTATGAAGTTATCAAATTATTGTTGTAATTAAATTTTGAATAATATTGAAAGTTGATAATTATTAGCAAGGAATGTAAGAAAAATGTTTTAACAAATTATTATTGCGCGCATTTTACGATTCCATAAAGAGTGGTGCGCATATTCCTTATTTTATTTATTTTAATCCTATTCTTTGTATTCTTAAAGATGAAGTGCTAGTATCGCTGATTATATTAAAGCTCAATCGCGGGCTCCTTCTTAAAGTAACCGCCGGTCAGTTCTAGAATGTTACTACTGCGCCG